GGGAGGAGAGAAAGCATAAGAACCTCCCTAGTTTAAGTCAAAATTTCCATTACACACTAAATCTTTGCGAAAATTCAAGACAGAATTGTATGAATTGACAATTGGATTGATAAATGTTAGTATTGTACATTGTTTTCACCAGTAATCTTTGCAGGTACAGGACCCATTCCTAAAGTGATGGAACCGAACACGATCTCTAACAATAATTTCAACGTCAAAAGCTTTCGAAATTAATTTGGTTACATTGTGACAGTCACTGCAGATTCGCAAATTCTTGAAAATGCGTATAGGAATTCCCGGTTTCAGTTTCAAAAGTCCATAAGCAATGGCAAGTCTCTCACTGTGCAGTTTAAGCGACCGTCTCTTCCCATTATCAAGTTCATCAACCATTGATGCTTGTGACAAGTCAGGAACATACCCTGCTAATTTGAGTCTTTCTTCTATAACATCCAAAAACTTGTAAATTTCTCTAGTATGCAAATGAGAAGTATCTCCAGCGAAAAATTCATGGAAAACGCCATTAATTTCAATTGAACTACAGCCTGGATCTTTTTTAATACCTTTATCGGTCATCAATTTCCTAATCAGTCCAGCCTCGTCCCATCGGTTAGCAGTTGCATATACTCTTGACAAAAGAACATAAACACCACTAGTGTCACTGCCTTCAGACTCAATTACTTTTCTTGCCACTTCTTCACTAAGTTCTATGTCAGCATTTTTCTTGCAGCAACCATCAAGAAGACTTCTCCATATTGCTGCATCAGGTTTCATTGGCATGTTTGAAACAACATCAAGAGCTTCAACAATACGCCCCGCACGAGCCAGAAGGTCAACCAGGCAACCATAGTGCTCTAAAACAGGCCTAATCTTATACTCAAAAACCATTTTATCAAAATAGCTACGGCCCTCGTCAACCAAACCTCTATGATTACAAGCACTCAAAATACCAACAAATGTGATTGAATCCGGTATTACTCTCTTGATAACCATTTCGTCAAAACAACGAAACGCTTCCTCAACCTCCCCATGCATTGCAAATCCTAATATCATAGCATTCCAAGAATTCAAATCACGTTTGCTCATCCTCTCGAAAACCTGAACAGCTATATCCAACGAACCACATTTGCAATACATGTTCAATAAACAATTGTTAACAAGCAAATCAAAATCTAAGAAGCTCTCATACTTCCTTAAAACATAAGCATGTACCCACATTCCCAAAGATAACGCCCCGAAGCTAGCACAAGCATCAAGAACACTCTGCACTGTGTACCCATCAGGCTCAAATATCTTTTGCATCTCAGAAAACATTCTCAAAGCACTTTCAAACTCACCCGATTGAACAAGAGCATCAATCATAACATTCCAAGACACCAAACTTCTCTCAGGCATTTTATCAAACACTCTCCTAGCATCCTTCAAACACCCACAAGACGAATAAAAATGAATCAAACTATTGTTTATATATACATCTGAATCAAACCCAAGTTTCAAAGCAAACCCATGTGCTTGTTTCCCTTCAGAAAGTGCAAAAAGATAAGCACAAGCCTTGAGCACAAATGGGAAAGTATGCTTATCAGGCTCAACATTTGTAACCATTTTATAAAAAAGCAAAAAGGCTTCATTTTTACGATTATTACTATGAGCACAAGCTCTAATAAGAGTATTCCAGATGAAGGAATTGGTGTTTTCTAAATTACTGAAGAGTTGAAAAGAATAGTTAAGGTCATGTAAGGAGGCAAAATGGAGAATTCTGCTGTAGAGGAAAAGGGTGTCTGTGTTGTCAAATGTGGTTGTACGAAGAGTATAGGCGTGTACTTGTTTGAGCTGAGAAATGGAAGTGCATTGTGTCAAGATTTGGAGGATATGGCGTCGATGCTCACTAGTGTTGGTGCTGGTATTGATGGCATAAGTTGTTGGCCTTGCTGTAGTTGCTAGAATCATCTTATTCGCAGGCTATTCTCCACAAGTAAATTATTTTGGAAAATATAAATAGATACACAAGTAAACTTTTCTGGAAAAGCAAAAATATGACAAAAGAATTTTTTTTAACCATCCAGTGTCTTAGAATTCACTGGTGCACATATTCGAATTCGTGCCTTAGAAAAGTCTTTAACTATTTTCTGCACTTTCTGTTAAATTAGATTTTATTATTAAAACCCCTCCACCTTAATTAAAAATTATGAATTTGAGCCTTGATAATAGAAAAATTTTCTATAAAAAAAGCATTTTCTTTAAAGGGACGCTACTTGGTTGACACCCATCTCATGGATGCCTAAGATTACACCCATCTAATGCATATTTACTAATATCTGTAGCACATTGGTTCTAGAAGATATGGTGTAACAACTTGTCAATTGATTGCACTCCATAAATTTTTGAATCAAGAAGATACGTTAAAACAACTAATACAATTAGTCATATTCTCTGAAGATGGAAAAGGAAATTAATTTATTATTAGTGCTTAATAAAGAGTTTCATTTTTATTTGGAGATACTAGAAATCAGTGCTTACTTGTATCACACCCTTTCTTTGATGCTTGGTTTGTCCTACAGTGAATAGAACATATATCTTCGATCTTCCTAATGTTTGATATACTGGCTTGACACTCTCAATAATTAACGTTGACAGATCAAATATAAACAACCATTTTTTGGAGTCTCATGAATATAAGCCCTTCTTCATCTTATATAAACCTATTCGCTTGATGGTCATCCATGTTGTTTAGATCCTTCAAAAATATTGTTCAATCTTGTCGGATCATCCAAAAATATTGCAACTGGATCTTTATGTGTGGGGAATAATACAAGCAATTTACTTGCTTGGAACATAAAGTTAGAGATATTGATCAATCCAACCAAGGTTCAGTCCTTAGCGAACTGTAAGAGATTGATATGTCTATACTGAAAAGTTCAACTATAATTTTGAATGAAGAGAGTGCATGTCCATCTTCATAGACATTAATAGCACACTTGGGAAGTACAGCCTCGATAGTACAACATGTATATCTACAGTTCACAGTTCAGAACATTTTACGACTAATTATTTATCGTTCATTACCAGTAAAACCTCAGCACCAGCAGCAATGATACCATCCAAGAACTCCCCTTCATAGACATTAATAGCACACTTGGGAAGTACAGCCTCGATAGTACAACATGTATATCTACAGTTCACAGTTCAGAACATTTTACGACTAATTATTTATCGTTCATTACCAGTAAAACCTCAGCACCAGCAGCAATGATACCATCCAAGAACTCCCCAACTTCTTGGGTATCTTTAAAAGCATAAGGAGAAGCAAAGTCACTGTCCAGATTATACCAAACCCCCTGAATACACCTTAATGTAACCCAATGTCTGCTTCTCCAAAGGCCACCAAACTTTCTAACAGGAACATTAAGAACAATTCCCATCAGTCGATCATCGAGAACAATTGAAGGAGCCCCATTTCGCTTATCGTGCCAAACAACAGTTTTGCCTTTCTGTTCCAGTGCAGCAATCAATATGTTTATATCATAGTTCCCGGTTATTGCATTATGATGAGGCTTAAAAACAACTGATACAGGAGTCCAGCTTCCCCTGTTAGGGTCATCGATATCAAGTTTCTCAGCAATGGAATTCAAATCAGCTCTTGTAAACGCATCTTTCCCCTGATTTATAACATAGTGCAACCAATATGTCATCATACGAAACATGGGTTTTGTCCAAAAAAAAATGTTCAATTTGAATAAAGTGTAATCACATGTACACTAATTGACCTAAATTTTTAAGCAATCAAATTAGAAAAAAGCATAAAGGGGATTAATAGTGTACCTGGAAGAGATTGTTGAGGGAATGTAAGAGGCAGAACTGTAATCTTTGCCTCTCGTGGTATATCTTTGTTCCTCCCTCCATATTCTACTCTCTCGGAAGAGATCACTAAAAGACAGGACGAACCAACGGTTGCTTAGCGTGAAGTTAAAATCGACAGTAACTACAGAGCTCCTCTGCTATTGGCTCTACATATTTTATTCTTAATGAGAAATAAAGAATAAAATATAAAGAATATTCTACTTAAACAACAGCAGATCTCTTGGTTCTATATAGCAATAAAGGATATTAAAGCATGACATGTAGTATTACTTTACTGAGGATTCAAATCTGCCTAAGAACAGACGCTTGGACATTAATGTATACCAGTCCAGCACACAATCTGTGCCACTCGTCACAACTAACAAGTTCAGGTCATTAAACCTTTCAATCACTGCATAAAGATGCCAGAAAGAGGCATTAGCTTATGACAAGTTAATACACATCATTGCAACGTGACCTCGTATACAGAGGATTCATAGCTAGGTATATATTGTACATTGCTTGGACAATCTAGCAATAGATCAAATTCACCATTAACCATGACAGTCTTATACCACATTTCTTTGTTTAGAAATTAAGTAGTTGAAAGTTAATTAATTGAAAACCAGAACCCGGCATTCAAACCAATATGAACTTCACATAGAAGGTAAAAGAAATTACCTCAAATGAGTACTCACACAGAAGATCTGATTGTTGTAATAACGTTGATTTTAATCAGCAAGTTTAAGCTGCAAAAGGAAGGGAAACTATATAAGGACCTATGAAATTCCAAAAGTAGAATAAAAGAAAATAAAGATGACAAAAGTAAAAATGAAAAAAAGAAGACGTTGTCAAAGAGATAGCAAAAATATATTGAAGAAGGCATTTGAATTCAGCGCCCACATTTTGCAACTGGTAACCAACGTGTTCAAGAACCGAGCATGCTTCGATTCTCTGGCATTTATCCATAGGTTTCAATAAACATTGTAGCCTACAAAGTATGTCCTAAACGTTGGCCATTCACATCAAGTTCTTACAAAGTATTATCCCAATCTCAAAATAAAGATATCTATTTATTTGTACCTACAAAATATATGCATAGTACATAAAATGCAAATATAGAGAATACAAAAGGTGTTCAATTATCGAATGTGTGGCCACATATGAATAGCCACATGCAAAAGTATATCATTATTTTTCAAAAGAAAAAAAGAAAAGAAAAAGAAGAGCATTAGTCTAAGGAGAAAGAACTGGAACTTTAACAACTATTCCCTTGCATTAAACTCTATAAACTCCAAAAAGTTAAATTAGAACTAAAGAAGGAAAAACACATAAACTGGCACAATTACTGTATATTGAAATAGAGCGAAAAACAAAATGCATTAATCAGCTGAACAATTTTTAACTACATGCATCAAGGACTTCTCTGTATTTGTTTTCAAGCGGAACCATTTTGTGCATGGTACAAGGAGTAGCAGGGCATACAATAACAAGTTGCATAAAGAATCACCTCGTGCAGAGTTTCATTAGCCTAAAAAACATTTCCACTCCTTACTCCTTAAACTTACCAATCTATTAATTGTGGAGTACACACATTGACAGATTAGCAGACGGCATTATAGAGTAGTGGTAGTAGAGTAAGTATGGTACAAATGGTATAACAAATAAATCTTTGATACTTAGGAACATCCCAAAAAAAAAGGAAAAATCTATCTTGACTTAACATCAGAATGTCATGAAATAAACATAGTCATTGCCTCGCCAGTGTCTAGGGTTGGGCCAGGAGGATCTCTTAACGCCTTCTTTCCCACAAAATAATAACCACATATCTGCTCCTCTATTCAAGTGTTGCATAGCGTAGCAAAAAAATAAGGCATAAGGGATTAAAATTTAAGAACCATGCTTAAAATATAGAAATACCACACAAATGCTATAGTTGGATGCACTTGCTAGTGCACTTTTCTTGCTTTAACTGGGTTAAAACTATCTCGGGTTGAGAACTTTGATGTCTTAGGTTAAAATCCCAGCGGGGGTAAAAACAGTAGGTGATTCCTTCCCATGTGTCCAAACTTTGCTACATAGAGTTACCTGGTACCTGTTATTGGTGGGAGGGTGAGAGATAGCACGTATCCATGGAATTAATCGACATGCGCGCAAGCTTGACCTAGACACCACGGTTATAAAAAAAATATCGCGGGTTTATTCTCTTTCAATTCTTGCAATCTCGCCAAAAGTAATTTGAAGGTCTTATTTTGAAAATCACATACTAAATCACTGAATCATCACATTTAATCAGGGAAATTTCACATTCATGTAAAGAATTGAGCCTTTGAATTCAACAACAAAGAAAATATAGTAATATGCACACCTCATTCCCTTGTTCAGCAGTTCCTCTGAGAAGAACGGGGATGAGATGAGACGCTGCGATTCGTCTACTGCACAAGTTAGAGATCGAAAGTAGAGATTAATTTCCCAAGTTGAGAGATTATAGAGAAGCAATTAGCAGAAAATGGATTTGCGATTTTGACTTCAAATTAAAACTGCAACTAGTGAAAGAATGTTCGAGAAGATATATATTAGACGTGCAAAGTGCAAACTAAATGCCTAAACTACCCTCATTTTGCATTCCTCGGGGAACATATATTAATTAGACTTGGTCAACTATCTTTCTTTTCTTTTCTATTTTCACAAAAACTCTGCTACATCCTCCAATTTCTCTTTTTATTTTAGTTAAAAAAGAAATCCTTACATTTAATTATCGAATATTTGGTACATGTTATAAATATATTATAAGATATTCATTTAGTACTCCGTTGTAAATAAGCTTCTTGAAGAAGTTTATCCATATGGGACTCCGCCGTAAATATGTTTATCTATTTAGTACTCTATTGGAAATAAGCCTCCTGAAGAAGCTTATCACTTCGGTACCCGGTTATGGATAAACATTACTCCCGGTAGAAGATTATCCATACCGGGTATAATAAGCTTATCCTTTCGATACTCCGTTATGGATAAACATTACCCCCGGTAGAAGATTATCCATACCGGGTACAATGAGCTTATCCTTTCAGTACTCCATTATGGATAAACATTACCCCCAGTAGAAGATTATCCAAACCGGGTACAATGAGCTTATCCTTTCAGTACTCCGTTATGGATAAACATTACCCCCAGTAGAAGATTATCTATACCCGGTACAATGAGCTTATCCTTTCAGTACTCCATTATGGATAAACATTACTCTCAGTAGAAGATTATCTATATCTGGTATGTAGCACAGCAGCTTGCAGTAGCAGCTTACACAGCAGCTTCCTTTCTTCTATAAATAGAAGAGATTTCAGTTCATTATGTACATTAGTTTGAATTCGAATAATATATCAGTTTCTCTCTATACTTGTCTTTACTTTACAATCTTTATTTTATAATACGTTATCAGCACGAGACTCTGCCATCTCGAGCAAATACTTTGAAAGTATCTGAGGTACGAACTTTCTTTTTCTATATAATGTCAAATCTTTCTAAACTTGAATTTATAGCCCTGGATATATCGGGCAAAAGCTACATGTCTTGGGTGCTTGATGCTAAAATTCATCTTGATGCGATGGGTCTGGCAGACACCATCAAGGATAAAAATCAGGCATCAAACCAAGACCGTGCCAAAGCAATGATATTTCTACGCCATCACCTTGATGAGGGCCTGAAAATGGAATATCTTACTGTTAAAGATCCAGTCATACTGTGGAATAATTTGAAAGATAGATATGACCACGTGAAGATGATCGTTCTTCCACAGGCACGTTATGATTGGACTCATCTAAGGCTACAAGATTTTAAATCTATCAGTGAGTATAATTCTGCTACGTTCAGAATTATTTCCCAATTGAAATTATGTGGTGATAATATTACTGATCATGATGTGTGGGAGAAAACTTTCACCACTTTTTATGCCTCGAATATGCTCCTGCAACAGCAATATCGAGAGATGGGATTCAAAAAGTATTCTGAACTTATCTCACATCTTCTTGTAGCCGAGCAACATAATGAGCTATTAATGAAAAACCATGAAAGTCGACCTACTGGTTCTTGTCCATTCCCTGAAGTGAATGAGACGAACTTCCACCAAGCTAAGCGCGGAAGAGGTCGTGGCCCCAGTCGTGGTCATGACCGTGGCCGGGGAAGAAACTTTAATCATGGTAATAATAATGCACCAAAGAACCCTCCTCGCCACCAGCAGTGGAAAAGGAAGGAACAAAAGCATGAAGCGGTGCAAGCACCAAATGCAGAAAATGCATGCTATAGATGTGGAGGAAAAGGGCACTGGTCACGTACTTGTCGTACGCCAAAGCACCTGGTTGAGCTTTATCAAGCCTCCCTAAAGAAGACTGAGAAAAATGCTGAAGCAAATTTTATTTCTGAAGATAATTTAGACTTCATGCATTTAGATGTAGCTGATTACCTTGCACTCCCAGATGGAGAAACAAGTCATGTGATCGATGGTGAATCTGTAGAAATGTAAATATTTTAATTTTTGTTGTTTGTAATAGATAGTATGGTTATGTAATTGTTGTACATAAAGAAAAATTATGATATGATAATGATGTTTACTATAATATATCTTATTTATGTCATTTTGAAGAATATGGATAACATTATTAGATCAACTTAAACTCTAGCAGAGTTTGCAAGAAATATACAACCACAAGAAGTGGTTATATTTCGTATATCTCATTGTAATTATATTTTGTTAACCACCAGAAGTGGTATATGCCTATGATCACCAGAAGTGATAATTTAGGCTTTCTATGGTTACAATTGAAGATAAGCTACATAAATATTCTCTATATTAAATGCACGCCTCGATTTGCTCCTGAAGTAGTAAATATTTTAAAAAAGAGGTTGAGGCATCACAATTTGATGTGATTAATGCGCATTCAGATAATTATGTTAGATTTTCCTGAAGGATGAGAACTTGATAATAATAATCCATTCCCTGAAGTGAATGTGACAATATTAATAAATCTGGTAAATATGAACGCGCTCTTGATGTAAATATATTACAATTCACCTCCAGAAGAGGTAATATAATTGAGAGAATATATACTCAATATTTCGTATTTTAAATTTGCTCCTGAAGAAGTAATACAATTGAAATTGCCTCCTGAAGTAGGAAAATATTATGAAGAGGAGTTTTCTTGTACTTAAACAATTGTTTATTTGATTGTGATTTTCTCTTATGATACCAGAAGTGTCTGAGCAATATTTGATAGTACAAAATGTATCAATAACTCCTGAAGAGCTAAGTGTTTGCCTAGAAGACACATGACACCAGTAGTGTCCGATAAATATTAGATTGTGGATAATAAATGAAGGCTCTCGAAGAGCTTATTTACAAATATGTCATTCATATTATATGATTATGGTCAAAACATATGTTGTAGTAAATCCGAAGTTTACTAAAATAAATGGCTATCATATTGAGACTATAAATGATTGGAAGATTAAAAATCTTCATGTTTCCACAATCATAGGGGGTAAAATAATATGTATATGAGAAGTTACCCGCCTTATTCTTCGATTTGTACTACATCATGTATCACGGTAAACCAGAAGTTTACTAATACAAAAGTAGCCACAATAAATCAGAAGTTTGCTAATGCAAATGTTTATGTCATAGTAAACCAGAAGTTTACTAAGAGATAGCACATGCCATGATAAACTTGAAGTTTTCATTTGCCATTTTTAAATGAGCTATTTGAGAATTTAGATAAGCATATACTAAAGAACTAGAAGATTCTTCAAGAATTCTCCAGTGTTGCTTGTTCTCATAATAAATTGATTATACCAGCTAAAGTTGGGACTAAGACCCCAGATTCTGAAATATATAAAAGGTGAATATGGTCTCATTCACCTATCATGTGAACCACTTATAGATGCATATATAAGATGGTTACATGTATGTTTATTGTCAACCTGTAGTTTGGCGTTTGAAATTGCTTTTCTCACTTAAGAGCATAATTTTCAGATTATGAAATCAAGACAGTTCATCTTGATAATGTTGGTTTATATACAAGCTAGTTTAGCAGTGAATACCTCCTATTAATGGCTAAACTATTGTTTATGAGAAAGCTTCATGTGTTGGTCTAAGATTTTCTAAATTGCATATAGCAGCACTTGTATGCATCAGACCAACAATATATGATAAGTCCTCCTTTAGGATCAGAAACCAAATATTTTACTATCTTTTGATGTGTGGTATATGATTAATTTCTCTACCACAATGCACAAAGATATGTTTCCCGAAGAAGATTGAGGATATATGTTAGTTTTTCTAACATTTGGGGAATGGAATAAACAGCTGAAAAATATGCTATATGAATCGAATTATCATTAATATGATCCTCACTTAGAAGATAATTCAAGTCAAATGCCAGAAGCATTTGCTGATCCAAAATCAAATATCATATTTCAGCTGCAAATGCTCCTATTAAAATTTAAAGTCCCTAATGGATAGAGTTTACTGTACGCATGAAGCGTGGTAGACCAATCGGTTCCAAAGATAACAATCCTTGAAAAATGATAAGGAGCTAATGATCAAAATGATCATAATGAGGAGGAAATGAGCTCTAGAAGAGCCCACGACATAACATTTCATAAAATTCCTGAAGAAGTTGAGGTACCTGAAAGAAAGTGATGAGATCTCAACAAGTTATGTCGCTTAGGAACCGATACAAAATGATCGTGGACGATATATTTGATACAATATAGTGCACAATACTGTGAAATATTATGAGGATCGGACCAGTAGTCCAGACACCTGAAGATGTCATGCCATTTAAATGCGAGTCATAACCTATATGACTCATTTGATTAAATCTCTATAAAGATCCCTAAAGGATTTAAAATGCCTGAAGCATGTAGTTCAAAGTCTCGAGAAATGTACTCGATCAAATTATAAATATCTTTGTACGGTTTAAATCAATTTGGGCGCATGTGATATAATCGCCTCAGTGAATATTTGCTGAAAGAAAGTTACATAAATGATGTTATTTGTCCATGTATTTTTATAAAGAAAATGTCATCAGAATTTGTTACACTTGCTGTTTACGTTGATGACATAAATCTTGCTGGAACTCCAGAAGAGCTCCAAAGGCAATTGAATATCTTAATAAAGAATTTGAGATGAAAGATCTTGGAAAAATAAAAATTTATCTTGGTCTGCAAATTAAATATTTAGCAGACGAGATCTTTATCCATCAATTTGCCTATACAGAAAGGGCCTTTAAACGCTTTTACATGGACAAAGCGCACCCATTAAGTACACCAATGGGTGTTCGATCACTTGAAGTAAATAAGGATCTATTCCGACCTCCAGAAGAGGATGAGGAACTCATTGGTCCTGAAATACACTATCTCAGTGCAACTTATGTATCTTGCTAATGCTAACAAAGGTGGTGCAGATCGTATTGGTTATGCAGATACAAGATTAGAATGCAGAGACTCAAATATTTGAAACAAGGTTTTCATCAGGGGGAGTAAAATACGCGATGCACTCTTTTTTCCTTACTAA